TAATAATAAGTTGTTTTGGTAATTCAATATTAGTAAAGTAAACAGAAGGTTAATAGTAATTAAGTATGCTATTAATAGCTTGAATAGACTTAGAGACAAGTATTTTATATCTTCTCTCTAAAGCCTAGTTTATTTGTTATCTAAGGTGAAAAAAGTGTTAAAGTAATATAAATAGTATATTTGTTTTTATATAGTGTAAGCTTGTAGCCAAAGTTTGATACTGTTTAAGTTAAGTGAGTCAAGTAGATGGAGGTTGCATTTGGAAGGTTAGTTGATTATAAGTTATAAACATTTTTATATTTATATATAAAAAGTAAATATTTTTGCTATCTGGTATAATAGCAATTACTAGATTAAATTTTTTAAATTGCCAAATATTAACAAAATAGAAAATAGCTAAGCAAAAGATCTCACCAAATATAAATTAACTAATTCTTTGGTTCTATATCTTCCAACAATAATCAAGTTTGTTAACAAAAAGTTTAGAAATATTAATCATAACAAGAATAATCTATTTATATTATTTAATTTTAATTCTAAAAGCATAATCTAATAGAAAATTAATTATATCAAATTATTATATAATCTTCTAGTACTAATAGTATTCCAAAGTTCAAATTTGATTTAATTAGATTTGTTTTAAATTAAATTTTAAAATTTTGTATATTTTTGAACTTAAATATAATCTGAACTTAGAACTTATAAACTAAACTTAAGCTGATTTTAAGTTTATATTATGTTTAGATTCAATTAATAGCTAAATCTATCTAAAAAATACTATTTAAAATTACTTATTTAAAGAATTATTGCCAAATTATAAAATCAGAATACTTTAAATAATATATATAATTATCTCAGTTAATTGGTTCTCAAAATTCAGATAATACTCTGGTATTAATTTTATAATTTTTTTTTTTGTCTTAAATTCTAAGTGATATTCTAAGTATTATGAATTCAAATAAAACAAACTTGAGTTTAAATGAACTTAGCCTGGGTTTAAATAAACTTAATTTAGATTTAAATAAACCAAACTTGGGCTCAAATAAATTAAATTTAAATTTAAATAAACCAGATTTGGGTTTAAATAAATCTAGTTTTGATTTAAATAAATCTATCTTGGGTTTAAATAAATCTAATTTAGGTTTAAATAAACTCAATTTGGGTTTATTTGAAACTGACTTAGTGCTTGGCAAAATCAACCAAAAACTTTATTTTCGAGTTTTTGAATCTATCGATTTACAGTATTGTGCTTTAATTACAAAAGTTATTTTTAATCTAATCTGACTTTAAACTTCATGAAAAGTTACCACGAAGTCTAAAGTAAGATTGGATGCCTGTTAGATTTATATATTCATTAAAAATAAAAATTTGTATTTAATGTCCAATACTGTAAATTGATAGATTCAAAAACTTGATTTTTAAGTTTTTGTTTGATTTTGCCGTGTACTAACCTGACTTGAGTTTATTTGAATTTGACTTAAGTCTATTTGATCAGGCTTGAGTTTAAATAAACCAGATTGGTTTAAGTAGACTAAATTTGATTACTTGAATCTAAAATAATTTTTATAAATTTTAATTTTTTTTGTTCTTTGATAATCTAATTCTTTTGATTTATTTTTTATCTTTTTTTTTTTTTATTATTATTTATTATGATTATTCTTTGCTTTTATTTTCTAATTTTTTTTTATTTTTTAATTTATATATATTAAATTATCAGTTATAATATAATTAATTCTTTGTTTTTATTTACTAATATTTTTTTTGTTTTTTAATATATATTTTTATTTTATAATATTTTTTTATTTTTAAATAGATAATCTGCCATAGATCTGCAATATATTGAGTAAGAAATTGGGATAGATCGATATCTGTAACATAGCAGCAAAGTATGGGGTTATCCCAATTAGGCTCAGAGTGTTGAGAATAAGATATCAGTGTATCTAAGCACTTAGAAGTATAGATGCAATGTAGTACATATTTAATCGAAACAAAGGCTTTATGACATCGATTACATTTATTTATAATACAGTAGTAGATCAAAAAAAATAAAAAATAAAAAACTTTCAAAATAATAAATTTTAGGATATGCAAAAAATTTATTTAATGAAAATTTTTAATTAGGAGACTACTTTAAAACAATCATTAGTGAAACACATGTGGCTGAAACTATTTTATGACCTGCTATGCTACTGATATCGATCTACCTCCCCATATCGCAGTCAATATGCACAAAGGAGATAATTGGCGGATCTATGGCAGACTATCGGATACTTATCAGGAAACTTGTACCCAATATTCATTGAAGTAAGCCTGCTCCATTATACACATTCCACTTCACTATGTACAGCATTGCAACACTTCTTATCTACATTTCCTTAATTGTTCCAACATCTATAAAGGTTGCGCTCAAACTATACACAATTTGTTACTTTTCCAAATTGGTCATAGTAGATTCATATAAATTTTATGGATTAATTACCCAACAAGTTTCAACAGCTAAGCCCGAGACAATAGATAAATAACGAAGGTACTGCACATATATGGAAAATGGAAACCAAATATAATAAAAATAATAAAAATATATAAAAATAATTATTTGTATCACAAGAGTTTTGTGACTCCTGCTTTTGTACCAACTCAAATTAAACTTTCAACAAAGTGCACATTAAAAATAATTACACAAAAATAAAATTTTGCAGAGATAACAAAAAAATATAAAGATAAAAGAACGAAATAATTACACAAAAAATACACTTTTTCTACGATAACAAAAAATTAACATAAAGATAAAAGAACAAATAAATATTTGATTAAAATGAACCTAAATTTCTGTTTTAGTATTAGCTTTGATACATGTTGAACGAATAAGTAATGGGTAATAATTGGATACAAAACTCCCGATGCACCCCATATGCCACCATAGATCCGCCAAATACCGTAGCATATCAGTAGACTAACGGTAAGATATAGGCACGGAGCAAAGTATTAGCAACATATCAGCAATCCAGTATATTATTCATATATTTATGAGTAAAATCTCAGTATTAATGATACTTTGCCGCTATATGTGCCCACAATTAGTTACCTGATATACTACTACTATGCTTCTGTAATTTCAGGAATTTCGAATTCCGTCATTTACCTGTTATCTATTTATTCGACCTGTGTGAGAACTCTATAACTCATTTAAATTGTTTCTGTGCATAGTTTATTTTAGGTTTAATTAAAAACATCTTATAGTTGATATCCTAAATAGGTCATATTGCTATTGATAAAGATAGTTTAAATTGTTTCTGTGCATAGTTTATTTTAGGTTTCATTAAAAACTATCTTTTAGTTGAATAGGCAACATATTGCTATTGATAAAGATATTAAAGTAAGTTGTGTAATAAATATTATCGTATCAATAACTTGTATCTTGACTTTTTTTTTATTTAAATAATCTAGGCATAGGCATAGTAAGTTTAAAATAATTTTCAAAATGTTTTTTTTTGGACTTATTTAAAAAAGATACTCCAAGACAGTTACAATGCTGGAGAATTATTACAATTGTGATACTTTTATTTTTTTTATCTGTTTTTTTTGCTATATTAATTGAAAAAATGGTTGAGGAAGAACCTAGTATGAAAATTAAATATGAAAATAATGATACTGTAGCATTGCCAAGTAAATTTTTTTTAATATATATACTTTTTGTTGAATTGATACTAATTTAAGAAATATGTGTATATAGATTTATATTTTGGATTTGATAAAAAATTTAGCTTGTCCTGTATTAATACATGTAAGAACTATAGATTTTCTTAATTACCGTATTCCTCCGAAAACAAGCACCCCTTTTTGCTACTGTACAAGTTTGTTTATTTCGGGTATAATCTCAACTAATAATTTGTATGACTTGATATTTAGTTACTTTTTCTATTCTATAAGAGATGCTTATTTTAGGGTATATATGAATTGTAGGGTGTTTACTTTCAGGGGTGCTTATTTTTGGAGGAAAACTGTATTTCATATATATTTTCACAATCATATTAATTTAAAACGCTTAAAAGTATTTCCAGATTGTGATAATTATTTTAATTATACTCAATTTAATAATACTATTTCAAATATCTTTGCGATGAACTATATTGTTTGGTATCTTCCAAATGGAAATTAAAATTTAAATCTGTCGACTCGTACACGAATTTTCTTTTCACAATAAATATAAATGATACAGCTTATAATAGCTCCAATGAGAATTTTAATTTAATAATGATTGCATTTGATTCAGGTATTTTTTTTTTTTATATTTTTTTTACCTTTAAATATAAATTTGACTTTATTGAATTTAAACTATTATAAAATAGAATATTTATCGTACAATTTTTCGCCTAAAATCCAAAAAGAGGTTGATTATCTCAATATCCAAAATCAATATTTTTTATCGAGAGGAAATAATGTAGATAATGTATGAATATAATGTAAATTTTATATTTACTAAAAATTTAAAGATATTAATTAACAATAATTTGTTAGTATTATTCTTTAACCTATCGTAGAAAAAGAAGAAAACAAATGGATGGATCATTTTTTACACAAATTGGATTTATTCCAAAATATGATACATATCATTATATTGAATCATCAATACGTAAGAACATTTATTTTATCATCTTATAATATGATAAATACAGTATATATTTATTTACTTTTGCAATATAGAAATTATTCAGTATGCAACAATGTTAGCTAGTCCAAATTTTTATGCAGGGGTATATATTTTTCCATGGACCACTGCTGTACAAATAGAAAAAGAATATAGGTATGCTTTTAAATTTATATAAATTACATATTTTGTTTTTATTTTAATTTGCTCTTAAATCAATTATAGGAATCGTACTGTAAGTATCAACTTCTTTATAAAATAATAAGTGCACATTTTAATTTATGTTCAAAATAGTTTACAGAAATTATAGCAAATATGAGTGCTCTTTATGGATTAATGCTTGGTCTTTATTTATTTCTATTTCGTGAGTATTTTGTACAGTAAACTATATTATTATTCTGTTTATTAAATATATATATATATTTTTTAGGAAAAGAATTGCATAGTAGCGAACCATATGGTCTTATTTATAGATATTATAATAAATCTGACGAAAAAAAAGATTTTGAAGTAGATGAAAAATAAGATTTTGAAGAAATGGCTTTCGTATTTATGATTTATTAGTATGATTATAATCTCATATATTTATTAAATCATTATCATTATAATATCAGATTTGTATTAGCTTTTAAATTATAAAAATAAAAGAATTTATAAGTTATCAATTTAAAACCGATAATTTTACTTTAAGATTATATTCATGTAATTAAAAATACTTTCAGCTTCGACCAAGGTTTATTCATATGTTAAACGAATAAAGGTATGGTTTGATAAATAAAATGTAGTGTCAAATTTGTGTATTATGATGATAGTTATAAAAGAAAAGAGTGATAACAGAAGAACTAAATTGGTGCAGAGCTCTGTTCACAATAATAGATGTACTGTTTGGAGTTGAAATTGATAAAGATGAAATGTATTTGACGACTATCAGAAGGCGTAGAATTGAATAATGGTAAGTCAATAAGCAATGTAAACCGGAAAATTGCCATGATATTTGTTACAAATACAGAATCACTGCAAAAAAGAATAATGAGAAATTTCACAAATGGTGTCATAGTTTCTCCATAATATTAATTCAAGCTAAGTTTTCTGTTTCATTTTTATTTGTTTATTTTTGTGAATCATGATTGTGGATTTGCCTATAATCATTGTGAGTTATGCACAATTGTTGTGAGTTACGCATTTCGTTGCGGTGGCATTTTTCAACATGAATTCCCATAACCCGTGCACAACATTGCTTCACAACGATATGAGTATAAGGCATTCATGAAAAGTTCAGTGCAGTCATGTATAATAAAATATATAGGTAGTGCCATTTAGTAAATACAGTAACTTTTTAACAATTTTAATTTTGGATTAAAATTAATTCCGGCCTTATTTAAAACACCAATGGGCGTTATTTCATAATTATATATAGATACGCTTGATTCTATATTTATTTACTGAATTTTCTTTATTTGATATTCGTTATATATGTTGTACGTCAAATTAAAATATGTGTCAGGTCAAAATAACTATAAAGTCGCTAATACCTACTCCTACCCTAACATAGGATTTCACCCTAACCCTAATAAATCTCTATTTAAATTTTGATCTGACGCAAATTTAAGTTTGACGCACAACATTCATAAACCAATAAAGTATCTAAATCTGAAATAGTTCTCTTTCTCCTTCTCTGTTTACATACGATTTATACAGTATTAAAATTTATAATTTTAAAATAACTATTTTATACAGATTGGTCTATTTAAGATGATTGATTTATTTCAATATCGGGATTGTTTGATTCTAGTTAAAGATGGGTGACGAAACTATTTAACGATAGACGAAATGGTTTCGTCAATGGTTTCGTCTGACGATACTTTGACGATTGACGAATTTACAGACGATCGACGAAACTATTGACGATTGACGAAATTACTGACAAACCATTGACATAATTTTTGGCGAAACTATTATAATTATAAAACAAAAAGATCAATTCATAATATAGTTAATATAGATGGGTGCCAAATTTCAAAAAGAAAATTAAAATAATAATTAATAATCAAGTGGCAATTTCCTTTTTGGAATTTTGATTTACTTTTTAAAAATTTGACATGATTTTCGAAGTGTTATAGGCAAATACTGAATCATTATTTTCACCCTCTATATTTTCACTATCCCGTCTACATTATTTACTATTTAAATTATCAATATCATCAATTATTTCTGTAATTCCATTCTTTCGCTAAAATCTGCTGTTAATTCTGAGGATCGAAATCTACAATGCCTCTTTCTATTGTATTAATGTTCAATTTCATCATACTCTTCGGCATAATCAATTTCACTATTACAATCTGATTCATTATTCTGAAAAGATTTCATCACTTAAAAAGACAATATTTTCAATATAAAAATGTTCAATAATATTTTGTTTATACTCAATTTCTTCTACTTTGGAATCCTCATCTATTTCATTATTGTCATTAGCTAAAAATGTTGCAGAAATTATTTGTCCTTGTAAATTATCATATGTTAATGCTTTACCAAAAATAACTAGTTCTTTTTTGATGTTTAAAATGCAAAAACATTGAATATACGCCATTGCTTGAATTTGGGAAAGAGAAAGCCTTGAGAGAAAAATCATTAGAAGCTGCGCCAATTTTTTTCTAACTTTGAGAGAAGATATCTCGATAAAACTTGATCAAATTCTATAGAAATTTTTTATTAGAATTCTATGAATCCATAAATTAAAATAAAAAAAGCTTTATTGAATTTAGTCAGATAGTTGTAGAGAAATATTTGCTCAAAAAGAAAATCAAACGCCTATCAAAATAGAAGCTGTATCAAATTCATTTTAAGATTTTGAGCGAAGATATCTTGAATTTAATTCTATGGATTCATAAAAATTTGAATAAAAAACTTTTCATCGAAATTGGTCAAGTGTTAGTCGAGACATCTTTGCACAAAGATAGAGAAAAACAAAACGTCCATCAAATTAGAAGTTGCACCAAGTTTTTTCTCTAACTTTGAGCGAATAACTGACAAAATTCGATGAAAAATTTTTTATTCAAATTCTTAAAATAAATAACTTTCAGAACTACTTTTTTTTCGAACTGTGTTGGTTAAACGTAAAATTAGCCTTATGGTAATTTGAAAGGCTGTATATCAACGATTTATATACAAAGTAGTAATATTTTTTTTAATACACTTTTTTTTTTTAAAAAAAAATATTTGCACCAATTCGTTTATTATAGAAGACTAATTTATATCCAAAGTCTTTTTAATGTTTCTTGCTAAGTTTATTGGTTGATCTCTCATAATTTCATACAAACTAATCATACTAAACATGCAGGATATGCATTCGGGCGAAAATTTATGTTGGCGTTCAAACATTCTGTAAAACGTGTAACATGTGATATAATACGATTGCAAAATTTATAGACCAATCATGGCGAAATCACTAACTTTAATCGGATTGGCCGAAAATTCTCTCGCTATAACAAAAAAAAAAAAAATTACAGCCAACCGACCCAAGTTTCAGGTTCCAAGTAATGCAAAACTTTGCATGGCCCTTATTTTTTTTTATTTTCCAATTATTTGGAATTCTTTGCTTTTTCTCAACAACGATTCTATCCTTAAATTCAGTCTCAAAAATGATGTTCAACAGAAAGTGAAAAAAAAATCTAGAATTTTGTTAAATTTATTTTTTAAGAACAATATTGTAGTCTTTTTTTTTTTTGGTTTGACATTTATTCAATAATGACAAAATCAAAAAAATTGTCAGAAAAGAAAAAAATAAAATAAAAATAAATAAATAAAAAGAAAAAAAGAAACTACAATACTAATAGCAATTAATCTCGTTAAATTTTTTTTAAATATATATATATATTTCTACAAAATATTTATAACTATATAAACAATGAGCATGCAAAAATATATTAAATTAAACAGAATTTGAAGCAACGAAATAAATTTGGACGTATTTAGCATTTCTTTTATTAAATTTTTTAAATACCCTTTTATTAATGAGTTTTCAAATCATTTGCAAGTTTATCGGCAGCTGATCTAACATGTGCAGCCACACCGCCTTTTACAGTTGCCTCCATTTCATAATTTTCAATACGCTGACGTGTTCTGGCCTCTTCTTTCAGCCGATTTAATAATTCCTTCTCGTCAGGGTGTTGAATGGGTGGAAGATATTGTGAATTAGTAAGATCTGAAGGGTTTTCCAAACGTTCTTGGGCAACTGCTGTTGCATATTTGCCTAATGCCGATGCTGATTTAACAAATGGATGAATTCAGTACATGTAATTTATCATGATTATATTTTCTGAATTAATTTATACAAACCAATGTTAGCAGACTGAGGTCCAGGTTTATGGTCTTCTCTTTCTTTACATTCTTGCTCTTCTCTTTCACGCACTAATGCTTTTAATTCTGCGATATTTCGATCTTCTTCTGCTCGTGAAATACCTTCACCGTGAATTCTCACTTCATCTTTCTCTGGTACATTGCTGAAATCAGAAATTGGCTCAGGATCAGTTGCTAAAATTAATAATCGATTTAGTATCGATATCAGATTTTATTACGATTATCAACAATGGATAACGTACGTACCAGCAACACCAGGCATACCAAATCTTAAATTTCTTTGTCCATCAGTTGGTTTTGGCACATATTCGTCTTTCTTAGGTACTGAAAAGATTCCTTTAGTTGGATTCGACATTTTTCAAAAATATTAAAATTTCGCAACGAATTGTTTTTTTGCTTACTGTTTTATAGGTGTGAAATCTATAATTACGTAATAATTATGCATATTATGATATATATTTATGACGAAATAATGTAATTATGATCTCTAATTGATATCAGATATTTACAGATTTATACCAAATTTTTCGTTATATATAAGTATGTACATATCTTAAAATTTATTACATTAGTGATTAATGAAATACTCACATAATGTATTTTTTATGTTTGATGCTTTAACGTTTATAGCTATCTGATAAAATTTAGGTTCATCTCCCAATAAAGCTAAGGTATTCAATCTAACGAAATTTTGTACTTTACAATACATCGATACTACTTCAATGCCCCACTGCTCTGTGTAAAAAAAGAAACAGGAGAAACAGATTAGGAATAAATAGATTTTAAATCTTCCCGGCATGTTAAAGTAACCGAAAATATCGGGCAAACATGCGACGGTACCATTTTTATAATTTTCTAAATGACGTACCTTTGAATTATTTAAAATATGTTGTATTTAAATGAAAATGATGCTTGCATTCAAATAGTTTAACTTTTTTAAGTTATTACCGCTAAGCAAAAGTTCAATTTCTTCTATATAACTATTTTACCATTGAAAGGAAAGAACCTTTTGATTTGTCGGAAAATAAGTCTTCGGACAAATACTAGAGGCAGCGAGAAAAGCACAGCTACCTTTTTTTGGATTTTGTGGCTGATCGTAATTTATACTTATCGTTAGACCGGCAAAATCAATGACTTCATTATCATGGAAACTATGATTTCATATCAAAATTACAGTCAATGATTTCAAATGATCGTGAGATCAGGTGATTCTCGATATTGCGTACCCCTCATGAAATCTACGAAAAATTATCTTGTAGTAATATTACATGAAATAGACATAGTAAATAAGTATTAACTACAGTCAAACCTCTCTATAATCACACGCTTGGAGTACAAAAATGGGTGATTGTATAGAAGTGTGATAGTTATAGAGATCAAATTTATTATATTTAATAATTGTTTGTTTTTAAAAAATATACTTATAAAGAAAATGTGCATATATAGAAGGTGACTATAGAGAGGTTAGACTGTAGTTGAAATAGCCAATAATAGTTTGCTTTAAACTAAAATTGAATTCACTGGCTTGACTCATTAGAAATTTAATTTAAAGTTTGTGATATAAAGAAGATGACAACATAATAAGGCTTTTATATATACTGTAACTAGAACCACATTCATACTTGTAGCCAAGATTTTTTTAATCTGGTTATTTGGATTATATGACCAGATATTCCTGTATTCCAAAAGATTATACCAATATAATTTTTTTTTAACATCTTAGAATCTCGATTACGTCATGAATTTCCTCATTTATCGGTTTACCAACTAGTCTCAATTGACTTGTAACCTCTCGAGTATTAACGAACGAAATTGCTGGTGTACATGTGATTTTAATGGCTTTCTGGTTTAATCGGTAATTTTGATTATTTCATTTGATTTTAAACAACCCAAGTTTTTATCCTAACTATGGCGATGAATTATTTCTACTCGACCATTGGATAAAATTGACGATCTTTAATAACAAAATTATATACAGTATATATTTTATTCTTTGGCGAAGATATCTCAGTAATTATTTACCAAAATGGATGAGAACTTTTTTATATTAACTGTATAAAACATAGAAATAAAATAAAAAATATTCATCAATTTATGTAAGTATTTATTGAGATATTATCGCTCAAAACTTAAAAAAAACGAACCCACAGTCTTTTGATAATTCCCTAAAGTATTATTTTTTCTATACCGGCTTCGTCTAATAGTTCAATTGTCAGTTCTGGTGTGAGATCTTTTTCCGAATACTCTGGAGAGCATAAAAAAGACAGAAACTTTTGGAACGCCTTGCGAATTATTGATCTCTCACTACAAGCATTTTATCGTATATTGAAACAATAATCTTCAATTGGCTTCATCGAACTTAATTAACTTAGTTACGCATATATGTATTATTTACTACTAGAGTATGTGTCATCGAGCAACAAAAAATATGTATATAATTAATCTTTGATATCTTTAGTTTTGAGCTTCTAATCCTATTTTATGAGAAAATTTCAAATAATACTATTTTATAAAATATTTTGAAATCTCTTATTTTTCTTCTAATCGCACTCTTTCTTTTTATCTCTTCCAGTTATACTACAATATTTTACTCGCTCGAATAATTACCAGTTCCTATTCCCTTACGATTGTAGAATGTGTATATTACTTTAGGGTGATGTATAATAATTATGCGTCTCACTCAACAAAAAATATGATGATATCTATGAAATTAAATTTGGTGGTTTCTGTAACTTTTGATTATGCAGAATTCAAGATCAGATGTAATAGGACCGGGAAATCTTTATTATAGTTACCGCCAAAGTAAACTCTTGGGTTTATTCCTATGAATCGGGTTTTTATATACTTCCATATTGCGCCAAGACCTTTTTGGGTTATTTCGAGCTTTACTTCGGTTTTTTTCCTAATATTGTTCATATCTTACATTCGTTAATTTCTATTCGATATATTAATTTTAACAATAAGTCGAATCAACTAATAGCTGTAACTTTCTCATTCTGTATACTGTATATGCGAATATAGTCCAGGGCGATGGCCTTTTTTTCTGTATGTCATATAAACTTGGACCTTTTATGAGACTTTATAAAAATTGAATTATGATAATTCAGATCGCGTTTTCAAAATTGATGTATATTCGAACATTGTTAGACGTAATACGATAATATTGCTAAGTCATAAAGTTACGTGTAAAATTAAAATAAAATCGCGTCATAATTAAGGTTTATTAATAAAACTTCATAAAAAATATTTAAATTATTTTATTAATTAACAATAAATTTGTTTTTTTCTTGTAAATCTGATTGGCCAAAATTACAGAATAGGGTGAAAATTTATTGTGGGTGTGCTAGAGTTTTCTAGAAATTAGACCACTAAAATTCTTTGTAAGCATTTACACTGATTTGGACAGATAATGACATTGCAGCATCACGGTACTTAAAATACTTTTAAAATGGTAATGATATTTAGCCATTGTAACGTAAAGACCTTTTTCGGGCATCCTCTTTTTAATAATCACTTTACTGATTTATTTAATTTACGTACATACGTATACATACATACATGTGTTTAAAGGTTGACCAAAATGAGTTTAAAAACTTACAGCGATAGCGAATTTGACGTAAAAATAATCGTTGGAAATGGACAAAATACTAAAGAATTTAAAGCACATTCTACTATATTAAGTTCACGTTCTCTTTATTTTCAAAGAGCTTTATCCGAGCGATGGAATAACAAGGAACAAGATTTTTATGTTTTTAAAAATCCAAATATTTATCCATATACTTTTAAGATTATTCTTGAGTAAGTATAAATGATTTATTTAATTATATACATATCTTTTATTTAATTAGTTACATACGTATCTTTTTATAGTAATTATACGCTAATGAATTTTTTTTATAATTTTATAAGTTACATTTATAAAGAAAAAACCAAATTACGAGCATCTGCGGAAACTTGTATAAATTTAATGGCTGCATCTGACGAACTTGAACTTCTTGATCTTGCGGAATGTGCACAAGAACATTTAATTAAAAATCATTCTTCTTGGTTATTTTCTAATCTTATAACATCACTTAATTTTGCTTGTCAACATGATCATTTCTATAAATTACATGATCTTGTTTTAAATTTTACTTGCAAAAATCCTTATTCAATTTTTAATTCCGAATACTTTTTATCATTGGATAAAGTGGCTCTCATATGTCTTTTAAAAAGAGATGATCTCGAAATTGAAGAAATAGAAATTTGGAATTATTTAATTAAATGGGGTATTGATAATTCTAAAAAACATTTTGATGAAAATGGCTTAAATTTTTTTGATGAGGATATTGAAGATATTAAAAGTTGGTCTGATAATCAATTTGAAGCATTCAAAGAAACAATTTCTCAATGCATTCCCTTAATTCGTTATTTTCATATTCCTAAAAGTTATATTGACAAACAAATTAAACAATATCGTTTAGATCATAGTACATTTATCAAATACAATACTTATCAAAGAGGATTTTCCAAATTAATATCTAATGATATTAAAACTACAATCTCAAGTTGGATTGATAAAAAAAACAGTAATTATTATACTAATATTACTGATCCTTATAAGTTTAAGCTTTTATTACGTGGAAGTAGAGATGGTTTTGATATTAATACATTTCATGAATTATGTGATTTTCAAGGTCCAACTATTGTAATACTTAGGATTAAAGAAACTGGTAAATTGATAGGTGGATATAATCCTACATATTGGGCTAAATTTGATAATTCTATTTTTAATTTTGAATTTTACAATGGATATTATAGACTTAAAGAGACACCTTATTCTAGTAAAACTTCAAATAGTTTTATTTTTTCATTTACAAATCCATCAAATCCAATATTAAGTGGAGTTACAAATAGAACTAATAATGCTATCTGGAGCGATAAATACCATGGACCTGGCTTTGAAACCTTAGATTTACATATGAATTTAAATTATTGGAGATATAACCATACGAACTATTTTTATGGAAAAACTAATACGGTTCAGCCTACTGTTGATGAATATGAAGTTTTTGCAGTTGATAATTTTAATCAAAGAACAAGTGTAGTGCTAAAAAATATTCTGAAGTTGGTAGATTATTATTTTATCAAAATATCAAATTTTATATTTTTATTTGTTTTAAATTCTTTTTGCACTTGCAATTTAGTTTTATCATCTCTTATATCTTTGCTTTTGTTATTGATTTCACCTCTTATTATGCATATTATAAATAAATATTCAGAAGAATTTATATTTAAATTAGTTTTATGGCCTTTTATAAAATTTACATTTTTGTTTTTTATTTCATATCTTTATGTGCTTATTTTAAATAAATTTACAAATCCCAATTTTTTATTTTTTACAATATATTATACAATATTTTATGTTCTGAAGATTTGGTTTCATCCATTTTTGCTATTTATTATTCCTATTATTATAGATTGGGGTCGGCAATGGATTTATAAAAATTAGTGAATTTTTATTGTTTCATAAAATGAAACTTTTTTATATTGAATTAATAAACTTTAAAGAATTTTTTGATTGTTTTATTACTGAAAATTTGGAAAGTTGCTCTTGGTATAGTTGTAAATGAAGCTACTCCTTTATTATTTGTTTGATTTGTTATTCATTTGTATATGTACAGTACTAAGATAAATAAAAATGAGTTTTACAAACTATGGCAATGGATTTAGCCTTAGTCGAACCAAGTTAACTATTATATCACTTGTATTGTATACATTTTGGTTAGATGTAGTGTTTTATATAGAGTTATAATATTAAGTCGAGTTGATTAAAATTTTTCCAATTGATTAGTTGTCAACTTAGTTGTCGGTTAGTTGCAACTATAATCACATGTTTTCAATAAATTTGATTGGCATAATAAATAATTACGTGTTTTCTGTATCTTTTCAAAAAATTCTGTCTTAAATTTATTATGTAGATAATCAACCAACGATTAGTTGATTAAAAAATTTTCAATCGATTAGCAACTAGTTGTCAACTAGTTGGTTTTTCAACTAACGATTTGGATCACTATTCTACGGTGAACAGTATTTGGTGTAAGCTAACCTAGCATCGCCCATAAAAAAATGTAGCTGACGTTACTATAATCATATGATAATGACATTTAGCTTTCCTTGATTATTAATCAATCACTATCGTTATACTATATTGTTCCGTATGTTGTATATAAAGATTTTAACATTAACGTTAATATTTAATATGGATGGAAAAAACTTGTGGTTCAAATATACGAAACAAGATATGAAAATTATGAGATAAAAATGATTGCATACTTAACAGTGACGATGATAAAGAAAATTCGAATGAACCAATTTAAATCACTTGTGTGATGTGCTCGAAGAAATAAGAAGCAACGTATTCTTTTAAAATGTCAACATTAAATTATTTATTATCAAATTATTATATATTAGAGTAAAAAATATTCCAAACATTTCACGAAATAAACCGAATCGAAATATTTGGCTAAATTCTGTTCGTTCAAATTTTAAAGCTTTAGAAAATATGGTTGGTTGAAGACATTAAAAAAAAACTTGAAACCCACAAAACTCCTCGAACTTGGAAGGATTTAAATCACAATACATGTATTGGTTCACATAATTCAAACTTTTACTATTTAAAACAGACGCTAAAGTGTTTAGTTAAAAGAAAAAAAAATCATTAAATATATATTTGATAAAAATTAACATCGCTAGTATAAAAAAAATATATTTGCTGAATTATTGGAACTTCAAATTTCATGCATCAATGATGACATCAGCTACATTTTTTATGGGCGATACTAGGTTTGCTATTCGATGTACTTTTATAAAAGATAAATCAATTTTTCCATATCTGATTTTATAATGATTATTTTAATCGGTTTAAAAATAGAGATGGGCAATAAAAATTCTTCAAACTAGCAAGTTACAATATTGTCCCATGAATTTGATGTATGAATTGTATGAATTGTATGAATTTGATGTATGAATTTGATGAATTTGACGTATGAATTTGATGTATGTATTTGCATAACACAAAATAATTCATTTTTTTAAAGAATAGATATTGTTCTTTTAAAATAAAATCTTATTTAGTGAAAAAAATGTTCATAAAAAAATTCCTTCTATTTTTTTGTTTTTTCAACTTTTACTAATTATTACTGTATTATGAAGTAGACTAGTGGTGGCAGAAAAATGTCGAGATCACATGATTGGTGATCATTTCTAACCTCTCAAAAAGTCCGATAGAATTTTGTTTTTTCCTTAACATAGTGATTATTGTATGATATCACATATTTTTGTTGCCCGCTCCGAACTAGCTCCACATATATCATTGATCGCGTGATCTCGACATTTTTCTGCCACCACTAGTCTACTTGTATTATGCGATTTGTAATTTTAGATCTGGATCAATGTTACACGGATGATGTAATAATTTGTAGCTAGTATATATTGATCGAAAATCAAAACAAATCATTTTCTCACTGAACACTGCAAAATGACTAAATTTTTTGAAATACTTTCTAAAAATCTTAATGACCTTTTAAACGATGACGATGATGAGTGTAATGTTATTATTGAAGTTGGAGAAGCACCAAATAATCAAGTGTTTAAAGCACATTCTACCATTTTAAAATCTCGATGTTTATATTTTAAAGATATATTAAGAACGGTGACGAATAATGAAAGTAATATGAAAATGATTAAAAGAGCCGATATCTCTGCTAAAACTTTTGAAATGATTATCAAGTAAAAAATATATATATTTTTTTATTTATATATACGCATACGGTTTATTATTTTTTTTTTTAATAAATTAATTTTCTTTTAACACTTTACGTGTATAACTTTTAAATTATTTAGATATATCTATAATGGGACTATTTCTTTGGAAAAAATTGAACCATCGGCTATATTTGATCTTTTAATAGCATCTAATGAATTTTATCTCGAAGAGTTGGTTAAACATGTTCAACAAATTTTAATCAACGACAACGTTTCTTGGTTGCTCTCGAATTTTTCTCAAGTTTATCAATCATGCTCTCAAAATTTACAACAATTTTGTATTGAAATTATTTCTAAACATCCAAGCATCATTTTCGATTCGAATCAATTCATTGCCCTTTCTGAAGATATTTTGCTCTCTATTTTGAAACTTAATTGTTTACAAATTGACGAAGTAAAAATTTGGAATTATGTTATCAAATGGGGAGTTTCTCAGAATCTATCTTCAAGTCTAAATCCTAAGCGATGGTCTGATGATGATTTTTTAACTATGAAAGATGCTCTCAAGAATTGTCTTCCTCTTATTCGTTATTTTCAAATGTCTGGTAAAGAAATTGCTGAGAAAGTTTTTCCTTTTCAAAAAATTCTTGATTCAACTTTATGGGACGATATTATGTTGAAACTTATGGCTCCAAATATGACTATTGTTTCAACCATTTTACCTCCTCGTAATATTCAGCAAACCAATATATCATTGCCTTCAATTTCTGCACCTTGTCAAAAATTTACATCACAATTAACGACAATTGCAACTTCGTTGATGGAATGCGGAAAAAAACATTTGATTAAAAATGATTATGATAAAGCTCTTGCAGATTTAACTAAATCGTTAGAAATAGATCCAAATAATTCAGAAACATTGAGTCTTCGAGGGAAAACTTACTACTTTATGAATAGATTAAAAGAAGCATCTACAGATTTAAACAAGTCATTAGATATTGAATCGGATAATACAATCGCATTGAAATTTCGAGGAATGATTTACCTTAGTACGAATAAATTTCAAGATACACTTAAAGATTTTACTAAATTACTGGAGATTATACCAAATGATGCACACATATTTTATCTTAGAGGAGAAACTTATTTTGTAATAAAACGTTATGAAGAAGCACTTGCTGATTTAAATAAATCATTAGAAATAGAGCCAGAATTTACACAATCCTTGGATACTAGGGCAAAGACTTATCTCGTAATGGGAAGAGATGAAGAAGGCATTGTAGACTTTACTAAATCACTAAAAATTGACCCGATCAATGAATATGCATTGAGAAATAGAGGTATTACTTATCATTATATGAGAAAATATAATGAAGCACTTGCTGATTTAACAAAAGCATTAGAAATTGATCCAAATAATGAATTTACATGGCGTATGAGGGGAATTACTTATCGTAATTTGGATAAATATGATGAAGCACTTAAAGATCTAAGTAAATCACTGGAAATTGAACCAAATAACGAAATTACACTGAGTTGTCGAGGAGTTCTTCTCTATGAAATGATAACATTTGAAGATTTATTTACAGATTTTGTTTCATGTTTAAGTACATTAGGAGAAATTGGACCTAATGATAGAGGCACGTTAAGTTTGTTTGGTATGGAAGGTCTTGCTCATCACAATATATGTAAATATGAAGTAGCAGTTAGAGATTTAACTAAATCATTGGATATTAGACCAAACGATATATATGCATTATTTTTTCGAGGAAAACTTTATCTCACGGTGAATAAATATAAAGAAGCAATTGAGGATCTAAGTAAGGTCTTAGAAATTGAACCTGATAAGTTATCAGCGTTGGAGATTCGAGGAGAAACTTATTATAAAATGGAAATGTATGAAAAAGCACTTGCTGACTTTAATGATGCATTAAAAATTAATCCGGACAGCATTGATGTATTAGAATTTCGAGGCAAAACCTATTATAAAATGAATAGATACGAAGATGCTTGTGACGATTTAACTAAATTATTAGAAATTGATCCTAATAATGAAGATGCATCAGAAATTCTTAAGGAACTTTTAACATGTGATCAAGAACGATGCAAAAAGAAGATAAAATTATCTGATTCAAGTCAATAATGATAACATGTTGGACACTTAATCTGACTTATATTAGAGAAATTGTTAATTTAGTTGAATAGTGAAAATAATAGAATAGAAACGCAATTTATACAGTAATTGACGTTTAATAAATTTTCCTGTCAATATAACTTTCAAATTATATGTCCCTACATTTATTGGTAATTGTGTTAATAGTTGGTAACGTAATTTATTAATTCTAATTTTATTACACAAGTTTCGTAATGGCCGGATTTTCCCTCCAGTTTTAATGAAATACCATCTTAGAATGTATCGCAGCAATATGATATATAGATCTGTGCCAGATGTGAATGAAAACAGCGACTAAAAAATGCGATAAATTTAAAAAAAATACCATGCGTGATATGATTAGATTAGTCGTGATTAAAAATCGCCTACATAATTATTTAGTCATTTGCATTATTTCCTCAAGCAATTTTTATGCCTTATTATCCTTTTTTTTTATGTTCGAAATCTTGAAAGTTTAACAACTTTATGAAAATTTAAATTCTTAAAAGGAGATGATAAGTTATAATGTGCGACTATCGGGAATGGAAACTTTCTGTCTCGTTTCAAAGTGCGAACAAGATGATAGGAACCACATTTAGTTATTTTAAGGGTTGCACTGGGACAAGGAGGTAGCTTTTTCACTCCAGTTTTTTTGTAATAGGCAACGACATCATAGACGGTGTTTTTGGGAAATTTTAAGACCTTTATGATCTTTGCTGGTTTTACACCACACACTTAAAGACAAAAAATTTGACAAACTGTAATAAAGTTTTGTGATGCAAAATAAATTTGCAAACAATGCAGCAAATGTTATCACAATTGTCGATCACATATAAATTGTCAGGGGAGTGTACATGTGGATTGTCCATAGGTTTTTTGGATATCCAATTTTATATTGTTTGATCCATTAATTATCTACGCCCGGTCCATGCTAGGCTGATCCATGAACAATCCATGGATTGTCCATTCCACACAAAACCCTACCCCTAACATACTAACTTAATTTATCAACGTATTATACAAAATTTTCAACTAAAGTTAATTGGTTTTCATATATTCAATAGAACAATTGTTGGGGAAATATAAGATAATATAAAATTTTTTGATGAAAATCTTTTCCGGTTTAGTTTATAAGGAATTAAAAGTCAAATTTTATTAAGCTAATCAATATTTATGCCTTAAGTAAAGCTTCAAAATAACAAATTGCATATATTCCAAAAGCACACCATAATTTTTATGTAATTTGAATAACTTTTTATTAATTCACTTTCGCATTTATAGAAGATTAAGAACTTTTTTTATTTAAATGTGAATGCGGGAGTGAATAAAGAGTTATTCAAATTACATGAACCTTTTAGAGTATATTCAATTTGTTATTCCGAACTAAAGACATACGATTAGCTTAGTAAAACTTTAACTTATAACAATATAAAAACATGTAAAATACTTAGGAGTTCACATGCATTTTATTTAGAAAAAGACTATCATTTTCATACAAGAAAAGTTGCAGTCAAAATCTCACATGAACTTTGTTTGGCACACCGAGACCAATACGAAGTCATTACTTGATTTATTGTCCGGCAGCCCCAATCTTAAGTCATTAGCCGGTTGAGTGTCCGGCATTCCCAAAGTAGAATGGATTTTCAGGTTTACAGCTGTTCTCATAAATTTTGGGACATCTGGTAAAAAATTGACCGAATGATTTTATGCCGATTCGATAAGTTTAATAAGTTTATGATTTTGGCAATATGCGATTACATAATAATGTGCATATTTTCGACTTTGTGATTTAATAATGATTTATACAAATAATAAAATAAATTATATATTTTACATATCACTATTTTTATCCTTGCTAAATGACATTCTCAAAGCATATTTGTTGTACAATCATTGAAAAATATTTGGAAGGCCTAACAGTTCGAGTAATTGCCAAATATCTAAGCATTAGCAGGTCTTCTATAAGTCGAATCCTCAAATATTTTCAAAAATACAGATGTATCAAAAAGCTTCCAGCACTTTTAGGAAGACCACATTTATTAAATTTGGAAGATATAGAGTATTTTAAAGCTTTATTGAATGAAAAACCTAATTGGTATCTGTATAAATTACAATCAGAGATGGAGCGTTGGTTAGGACATAAAGTTAGTTTATCAACAATTTGGGGAGTTCTACATCAGCTAGGATATACAAATAAACAGGTATATATTTTAGATGTATATGCTGTAAATTATAAATTATATTAAAATTCAATCACACAGATTTCAAGACTCACAAAAGAAAGGAATAAAGAAGATAGAGATAATTTTATTTTGCAAATGTCTCAATATACACCAAACTAGTTAGTTTTTTTAGATGAATTAGCTTATGATAGAAGAACATTGTCATGTCGGTATGGTTGGAGTTTTTTAGAGTTGCGTACTCGAAAGTATACATTTTTTGTTCAGAGAAAACAATTTACCATTGAAGGTGCATTGTGTATTGATGGTCTTCTGGTGTACAGTATTCAAGAAGGTTCAATGAATACTGATGATTATGAAAATTTTATTGAGCATGTATTAGTAAGTAAATTTTATTTAATATCAATACAGACATTGATATAATAAAAATTTTTTTTTAATAGTTACCAAAGATGAATGCATTTCCTGAATGATATAGTGTATTAATCTTGGATAATGCAATTATATATAAAAGTCAGTATTTGCAAGACATCTGTAACGAAAAGGGTGTTATACTAGAATTTTTACCTGCTTACTCTCTGGATTTCAATCCAGTAAGCAATTTACAGTGTGTATAATATTTAAAGTAATTTTAATGTTAATTAATAATTTAAGAATTTTTTATTTTATATATACAGATCGAGCAGACTTTTTTTTATATAAAAAACTATCTAAGACAAAATAAAATTTGGGCAGAATCAATGCAAGATCCTTTGGACATTTTAGATTTTAGTTGTATAACAATTGAGAAAAAATTAGCTTATGCATGTTATCAACATGGGGGATATATACTATAGATAATTTTAAAATTAGATCAATCATTTCTAAATTAATTACAAACAAGATTATGACTAGTATTCTATAAAAAAAAAGTGTGAAAATTAAATATTATATGCACGTTTTAAAATATTATTTATTAATTTTTGCATGCTTGTACATATATTATACTATCGCTATAATACGTACGGTATTTATTGTTATTAATAATGTATAAATTAATGATATCAATTAATCGAATAAATCATCAAATTTTACTTCAATATCCTCAAGATCTATCCAAATATGACTATGTGCTTCTTTAAATATGTGACTTATAACTTGTTCAGGCAAAAAAAGTTCCCGTCCATTTCTAATAACGATTTAATTATAAATCGTTTACCACTTGGAGAGCCATTAGGAAAAACGTAATTAAGCAAATTCTGAAAAGTCATATTTTTACTAATATGAATATTAGATTTTAGTAGTGATCTTTTTTTAGTATGAACTGTTAAAGAGTGTAATATTGGTGTAGGAACTGTTAATATAGAAGTAGAAGTGGTTGTAGCAGAAGAATCAATTAAAGGATCTATATTATAAATATAAAATTATATATGTACATACGTACATATGTACATATTAAAAAATTTTAAATATATATACATTAAAACAATATTGCAATAATATACCTTCATTTGAAAATTGTTTAGAAATTGGGTATCGATATTTATTTTTGTCAAACAATGGAATATTTGGAGGTGTTTTTTCATCAACACCTTGCATTTTAGTTATCTTTATATATGTACATATAAAAAAAAATTTAATATATATATATATACTGTATTTATAAATAAATATTCAATATATAAATTATAAAAAAAGCTCACAATTGCACGAGCCTACAATGTTATTAAATCACTATCCAATTTTAAATGTCGTCTATTGTCAGAAATTAAACAAACTTGAATATGTATTTCACACGAAGGAAGATTTTCATAAATCTTTTTTTTTGATATTATTCAATGTATTAATTGCGTCAGATTCTGTTTCAAGTGTCTAATAATAAATTATATAACAATTAATATAAATAAAATTTAAATATTAAACTATTTTAATACTTACATGAACTCTTTTGCTAGCTCTAATGGATTCATCGTTTTCTTGATAAATGCACAATTGGAGATTTTTTTTATATTTGATTTTAGAAATAAATGCAGTAATAGCCCCATCTGATTTCAAATCGTAATGATCTGCTTTGGTTGTATTTGAAATTTGATAACAAATCTAACTTAATTTAATCTTTCCCCAATGCTCAAAAAGTAAGCGTGATAAAATTTCTTCTTCAATATTCCCAAAGCTTTTTATATTTTCAAGATCATATAGAATTGCTAATGCCCCATCAAGTTTTTTATAGGGTTTTTCAAATCGATCATAACATACTAGCATAACAAATGCTAAAATAAAATAAAATTAAAATTGAAAAATATATAATATTAAATATATAAATATATAACGTATCTTACTTTTAGCTGGTTCTTTTGGTGTAATAATTTTTGATTGGGTTGCTGTTTTTTCAGATAAATTGGATGTTACATTAGATTCAGTTGCCATCGCTATTGCTTCAGCCAAGTCTGGTAATTCAGATTCAGCCACGATTACTTCAGACAAATTATGCTTCAGCCAAGTCTGGTAATTCAGATTCAGCCACGATTACTTCAGACAAATTAGACATTTGTAAAATATTTGTTACGACGAACAAGCTAAAGGTTCTTAAGTTGTCAAGTCCATTGTTTCAACATTTTTGTCTGATTCATACTGGTTTTTTTTTTGGCCTATATTTTATAATAATCATTATATATTAAACCTTTTAAATGAATAACATAATGCATAAAATTTTACTTTGATTTCATTGATTATAATTCTCAACACAGCTTTGACAAATGTTTATAAAATCTTGGTTGTTTGGAATTATAATTCGAATTATTTTGTTTTTAATCCAGTCAATAAATTCTCGATCATAACGAACTTTTTTTTTATTAGTTCCTACTCGTGATATGTATTTATTGTGAAAGGCTATCTTATATTCAGAACCTTTTTTATATTTTTTATTTAGATTGATTGGTTGGCAAGAACAATTTTTGCTATAAATTTTCGTACATACTAAACACACTAAGCATACTGAACATGCGTTTAAACGAAAGCCTAACTTAGAATGTGTTGACATTGTAGTGGCAGTAAGAATTCTATCATAATGTATTAAAAAATAATCACTTTATATACTAATCAGAAGTTTATCACTGCCAAAATCATAAACTTATTAAACTTATCGAATCGGCATAAAATCATTTGGTCAATTTTTTACCAGATGTCCCAAAATTTATGAGAACAGCTGTAAAACATATAAAAATTTTTTTTTAGAAGTTTTCAAATTTTTACCTGGCCGGGTTATAAAAACCAATTATAGCTATTATCATAATTTCTAGAACATCTGCTCATTACCCAAAATCTTTTTGGTTATTCGGTAAATTATCTAACTCTCCGGAAACTACATCGCTATCTTTGGACCTTTAGTCCGGAGGCATTGATGTAATTTCCGGAGAATTAGGTAATTTACCGAATGGCCAAAAAGATTTCGGGTAATGAGCAGGTGTCCCAGAAATTATAATAATAGCTGTAATTAATTTTACATGGCCTAATTGGTTAAATAATTTATCAGCTATAACTGGTTATTTGACCGTATAACTGATCGTGGTCAACCGGTTATCAGTACTAACCGATAATGACCGACCGAACCCAACCCTAACTTGGATATGAATATATAAAATTTTTTAGTTTGATTTCATTTATCATAATTCTTTTGACAGATATTAACAATATCTTGGTCACTTGGAATTCTAACCTGGGATTTATTTTTAAACCAGTCGACAAATTCATGTTTATATTTGACTTTTTTAACAGCAGAACCTGTTCGTGTGATATATTTATTATAAAAGCCTGATTTATATTCGAATCCTTTTTTATGTTTCTTATTACTGTATTAAGATTTATTGGTTGATAAGAGCTGACTTTTCCACAAATTTTCATACAAATTAAGCACATCAATTTGAACGAAAATTTAAAAAAGGTGACATTGTTGTTATAGGATTGTAAAATTATCATTATGATACAAAAATAGTTTTATTTTTATTACTATATAAATCATGCCGAAATCAATAACTTAACCAGATCGGCCAAAAAATCATTCGGTCAATTTTTAGCACACCGAAAATATGTACAAGGTTCCGATCTGGATAATCACGTGATAGTCCAGATGACTACTCCGGAAGGTGAAATAAAAATTTTTCAACTTTATTATCATTATCATTTGTTAATAATAATATATATATAAAATGTATATGTAACAAATTTGTTGAATACATATTGATATTTAATAACTAATTTAAAAATTGCAATTTTTTAATTCTGTTTATTTTCGGCGAAGTTTCTTGATAATTTGTGTACTTTTTTTAGAACTTTTTTCTTTTTACGCACACCTATAACAGTCGGGTCAATATTCTCTTGAGATATCTTACATTTTCTTAATTGAATAGATGCTGGTTGCACCTTAATTTTTGCTCCACTTTGTATCAATTTAGCTTGTGTGGTAGAGTTATATTGATAAAGATAAGAGGCCAACTTCCTATCTGACAAAGATTCAGCTTTTTCATACCTTTTTTAAAATATTCGAGACTTGCAAGCAGTTGACTACTATTTTTTGCTTTATCAATAATGTGATAAAAAAAATCTTCAATGGCTTCGACAAGTGCACTCATGTCCACTATGTCAGTAAATTCGCTTCAAAAAAAAAAAAAAAAAAAATTAGTAACTTATTATCTTTTAACTATTCATATGCTAAACTGTATTACTAAATGGTAGCACAATCACTACTGTCTACAGTAGATGCATCTTTATTAACATTAATATTTTTATAAGTAAGATCAATATCCTGTACAACTTTATCATTATTAGTTGTTTGACCATTTTCCACTATAACAGATGCACGTAAAGATGCATAAAATGTAAAATCTTTTGCGACAGTCCCTTTTAAAAATGCATACAATTATTATTAAAATATATAATAATAACATTCCCTTATACAAATATAATTATTTAAGTTTACTTACCACAAGCAATATAGTAGTAGATCATACAGTCATCAATAGTAAAAGCATAAAAAAATTAAATGATCCTTCATGATATTTAACTGCAACAGTGGCTTGGTATTTACAAGGTGATCCTCCAAGCGCAGCAACACATGTGCATGTCTCAATAGATGGATCGACTATATAAGTTTTACCAATAGTCATAACACTTGGTACTATGTATATGTTATTATTTATATCATATTGAATTCCTTTCTGATTTACCATCATCCAGTCAGGACAAAGAAAACGTTTTGATAACTCTAAGTAACCAGAGCATCGATTAGCAATACTTAGTAACCTTCTTTCATAAAAACGTTCCATATTTGATATAATAAATTGAAATATTTGTATGACATTGTATGCTTGAGTTCTTGCAAAAACAATGTTTTTTAGAATTCCAAAACTTCTTTTTATGTAGTTATTAGTGTAATTTTTACGTAATAACAAATCTGCACAAAATGATAGTGCTCATGAAGCCCGTCGTTCCCAAAGAAGTATGCAATATGATGCAAGTTGTCTATATTTAGTAAAATATAGTTCGCTAAATTTAACAAACTCTTCATCCATTCTAGGAATAGTAGATGCATACAAAACAGATTTAAAAGAGTTCATAATCGGAATACGGTCATCTTTGTAAATTTTATACTTCGAATTATACAACCAGTGCCAAAAGGCTTGTAAAATATAAAAAATGCATAGTAAGCGGGTGCAGGTTGGCTAGCAAATCTTTAAAGCATTACACTCAGCATTAGAATCATCAGTAATAATGACTTGGGGGCCAATATGTGGCCCACATCTATAGAAAGAATTAGCAGGTAAGATGGTTTTAAGTAAATTAATGACATTTTCAATCATAACTTCGGCTTCATCTGATGTTAAAAATATTCCTAACGGGAGTGCACCAACCATGCAGCTCGTATAAAAAAAACTAACTGATGTGTTAAATGGATTGAATGTAGCAGATGCATCTAGGTAACAAAGTTCGCCAGCCTGACAAATTTTTTCATGTACTCTTATCATCAAACTTGCAACAATACAAAAAATGAAAGGCGTACTAGTTGTTGAATTATATATTTGAAGAATCACCCTTCCATTATTTGATTCATTATATTGATCAACCATCTCTTGCAGCTGATCAAACATGCCTTTTCCATTTCGATCACCAAGTTGAGTAATATGAAATTGGTTGTAAAGGTTTCGCACAAAGCCTCCATCTAGATTTTTAGCTTGATTGGCCAACAAACATGCAAGTTCATCATCATTCGATGCAGATAAGTGCAATTTATCCTCGTATATATGTTTTGCTGAAGCTGCTGTATGTCCTATATTAAACAAGTTTATATATTGTTTTTGTGTTTTTATACTAACTGGACAGAAGCTAAAAGAAGCTGCTGAATTTGGCAAGTAGTTGTGGGTGAAACAAAGGTTAATCTCTAGTAGATGAGAAGTTGAGAGACTAAATGTTTTCAGCTTAAAATCAAGTGTAGCTGTGTAATTTGTGTCTCTATTTCGTAAGCTGTTAGGATTTTTAACTTCACGATTCTTATTTTTTTGTTTCATCTTATGACTATGGATGCAGTGACGAGTTTTCCGAAAAAT